ATCAACTCGAGTTGATTGTCGTCAGGGAGCCCGAAGAAGCAATTACAGGTAATAGTTTTAGTGGGCTGAGGACGATAATCACCAATAATTGGGAGAAGTTTGACGACGATTTGGGGGCCAAAAATCCTTTCGGAACACCTCTTGTTGTGAAGCAGGAGCCACCAGATTTGATCACCTTCTTGTAGCTATATATCCATGCCAGTCGAAGTCTCGGATAGGGTGAAAAATCTGGGTTTTTTTATTTATTATTTATTTTTTTTTTCCTTCTGTTTGTTGGTTGGCCGTTCCTCCAGATTTTTGTGATTTCTGAGTTTCTAAGGTATACATATAAATACTTGTACAAAAAGAAGGAATGAAGATATCGACTCTCATGGTATTTAATTAACACTCCAAGCCCTTGATGCTCATTCGGCAACTCCGAACTTATGTTGTAGAGTCTTAAATCTTGGTCTCAGTAGTGCTTTCGACGGTAGTTGGTCTTCTTTACCAATATATTTGGTCTCTATTTGCTTATCATTAGTTGTTTCTTGTAGAAAACGTTATCATTAGTTGATCTTCTTTAGCAATATATACGAAATTTTCCCAAGATGTTGGATGTGGCCGAGTACTCAGAGTGGTGGAGAAGAAAAAAGAGCAAGAACAAGAGAAGGTTTAGCGAAGAACAAATACGGTCCTTGGAGGTGACTTTCGAGTTGGAGACGAAGCTGGAGCCCAGAAAGAAGGCCCAACTGGCGAAGGAGCTGGGCCTGCAGTCCAGACAGGTAACCATATGGTTCCAGAACAAAAGGGTCAGCTGGAAGTCACAGATCGAGAAAGAATACGGCATTTTGTTGTCTAGTTACAAAAATCAAAAAATCTTGACCAACCCTTGTAGTGCATCAACTTTCGGCCCTTTTGGTGCAATCAACCCGGCCCATTGCACTTAAGAACCCGACCCTATGCATGAGTACTCCTTGGCTCCACTTTTGAGTTTGAATTTCAAACCCCTTAAAACTAATTATGGTATGAATTTTTCAGTTATTCATGACCTCATTTGACCGACCATACATGTGCCTTAATGAGTGTTAATTATGGTATTGATATCACCTCATATTTCCT